TGACTCCATGACTAGTGGGAAAGTTCATGTGATCCCATCAATTTCGACGATACCCCTTGTATTGAAAGATCAGAGATGAGTATGGGTAATCCCTACGGTGGGCTCATAGTTTTAGGCTATAGGAGCTTAGATCAGCTATGATGTTAGGAAAAGGTTGAGAACTGCACTTGCAATTGTGAGTTCTCAAGTATAAGGCTAGAGGAGGAGCAGATAGATACTGTGTAACATCTGCTTGATGGATTGCCTAGATCTTTGGACTGCATAACTCTGTATATATACAGAAACGAATCTGATACCAACCAAAGCCATATCTAGCTTTCCCACGGTACACTGTGCATTGTCTGCTATTTCAGCTTTTGATCCCACAGAAGGTGCCTGTATTGAACAATCATCACTACAGCTATTGCAAGCAGATGGCATATTGCTATACTCAATATGCACCCACTTTACACAGTTCTTATGATATATTATATGTACTGTAAGTGACATCTAAATAAATATAATTACAAATGAATACTGTATTGCAACCAGAGTAGCTAATATATAATACCACATGTAGTAGATCTCTACTGAGTATAGCTATGCTACCTGTGTACCATAGCTGTAGTGATGACTGTTCAGTACAGACACCTTCTGTGAGATAGAGAGCTAAAGTAGCAGACAATGCACGGTGTACCGTGGGAAAGCTAGATACGGCTTTGATTAGTATCGGATCCTACTCTTTACATATATATGATTATACAGTTAAAAAATCCAGGCAATGCATCCAGCAGATATTACACAGCATCTATCCGCTCCTCCTCTAGCCTCATATCAGACAACTTATAACTGCAAGTGCAGTTCTCAATCTTTTGCTAGGATCATAGCTGATCTGAGCTCCTATACCCCAATACCATAAGCCCACCATTAGAATTAGCCATACCTATATCTGATCTTTTAATACAAGAGGTCACTTCAAAATTAATGAGATCACGTGAACTTTCCCACTGTTTACCGAATTGCGACTTGCTTGACTCTATGACCGGTGGGAACATTCTTGTGATCCCATCATTTAGCTCATGTCTATGCCCACCACGGAATGATGGAAGCTTGGACAGCTAGGCCATAGGTTGCATGATGTTTCTAGACTCGTAGAAGTAGGCCATGACAGCTGGCAGGACGAGTCATCCCTGACTTTATTCAGTTTATGCATATGCACTCTTTCTCTTCTACTAGTCCCCACACCACGGGGCTGCGCCCCGTGGCGTGTTTTGGGGTCTTGCTTAGTTAGAGAAGTCTCTTATATCATTCGGCGCAATGAGTTTACTGATACCCTAGAGTGGAGTGGAATTCACATCCTTTTTCCACCCTTCCACAGAGAGGAAGATCTCCACACCACGGGGCTGCGCCCCATGGCGTGTTTTGGTTTTGACTTAGTTGAATATACATAATTGCTATTAGAGCAATCAAGCAAGACTCTCTTATAGCTTGTCATGATCTAATGAAAGCTGGTATGTACTTATAAGCTTCTTATTGAGCTTTGGAGATAGAGAAGCCTTACATATTAGTCAGTGCAATGAATTTACTAAGGCCATGAAGTCAGGCCAGATTCATATTTTTCACCTTTTTATAGAGCATGTTACTCTTAACCAGTGGGTGTGCAATAAAAGCTGGATGGTCTGTTATTCATTGCTTGTCTATGTTTGATTTGGGATGTAGCTAGTACATGAGGCTATAGCTGAGTTAGATAACATGTTCCTTGCAAGCTTTGCACAAGGTGGTGGGTTCAATTCCTTTCAATGCCAATTTTGAGTGACTTGCTTTAATGTACTTTTATGTATCAAAGAACAGTGAGTATTTTGCCAGATTGCAATACAATGGTGGCACAATTTGTGATAGGAACCTGCATCATAGGCAGTATATTCCCACAGTATATAATACTTCCACTAGTATAGTTAGTTTTATACCCCAAAAGGTCACTGGAATCACTTTGTGAAAAAGGTAATTTTGGCAACTGTGCAAAGTTCCCACGGTATAGTTCCTTCCTGGTATAATATGTGGCAATTTATGAAAAGCTCTGGCATCAAGAAAGAAACTTCAAAAATACAAGTGAAAAATATTCATGGCTACTGTGAGTTTTCCCACGGTATACCGGGTATATTGTCTTTATAGTATTTCTATCATGCTCTCCTATATATATGAATCCCACATATATCAAGAACCATCCAAATCTCTTTACATTTCAGACTCCCAGAGAGACTTTGATAGCTTCATGAGTATATTGATGGCAATAGTATATTGTTTCCATGGTATACAGTACTAGTCACCAGTCTGTAGCCTTTGAGCAAGAGATCAGACCCTATCTGCAACAAGAACGGACTGATAAGCCTTAGAATCAAGGCCACAGTGGGTAAATTGATGGGAACCAGTCCCATCATCCCACGGTCGAGACGTCCAAGATTTCAGACATCTCAACCGTGGGATGATGGGACCGGCCATTTCCGGTGGCTGCTTAGCCACTGGCTGCTGTATTGCTCTGGGTACCAAGATTGTATATATGATTCTGAAGCAAATTTGGAGGAGAATTCAATGGTGTAGTCTATGTGAGCATTAGTGTAGTGATTCCCACAGTATAGTCCAGTCATTGCACTAGCTGACACATTGATGGGAATAGTAAATTATTCCCACGGTATACAGTACCTGTCAGCAATCCATAGCATTTGGACAAGCAATCAGACTATATCCGCAAAAACAATGGACTGGTAAGCTTGAGAATTAAGGCCACAGTAGGCAAAATGATGGGAGCAGCTTTTATTCCCAGGGCTCGAGAGATCCAAGCCTTGTTGACCTCTCGAGCCGTGGGAATTAATTGGCAATTTCCGGTGGCTGCTCAGCTACTAGCTGCTGTATTGCCCGGGGCACCAAGATTGTATATATGATTCTGAAGCAAATTTAGAGGAGAATTCAATGGTGTAGTCTATTCGAGCATTGGTGTAGTAGTTCCCACGGTACTGGCTAATCATTGCACTAGATGACACTGATCAGCTAATCCTATGGGAAGAGATGTACTGACTCCCGATCAGACTGAACCATCATATTCTTCACATGTATCAGAGTCTAGTAGTATATGCAATCAAACTATTGGGACTAATATTACTGCCAGCAGATGTGTATCTAGATGTTATCTACCATCTGAGGCAATGATTAGCCTGTACCGTGGGAACCACTACACCAATGCTCAAATAGACTACACCATTGAATTCTCCTCTAAATTTGCTTCAGAATCATATATACAATCTTGGTGCCCCGGGCAATACAGCAGCTAGTAGCTGAGCAGCCACTGGAAATTGCCGATCAATTCCCACGGCTCGAGAGGTCGATGAGCCTTGGACCTCTCGAGCACTGAGAATAAAAGCTGCTCCCATCATTTTACCCACTGTGGCCTTAATTCTCAAGCTTACCAGCCCGTTCTTTTTGTGGATATAGTCTAATCTCTTGCTGAAAGGCTACAGACTGGTGACTGGTACTGTATACCGTGGGAACAATATAATATTTCCATCAATATACTCACCAAGCTATCAAAGTCTCTCTAAAGGTCTGAATTGCAAGTTATTCAAGAGCTATGGATTGGTAACTGGTACTATATACCGTGGAAAAATATATTATTCCCATCAATCTCATGAAACCATCAAAGTCTCTCTAATGGCTTGTCCAAATGCTATGACTTGATGTCTGGTACTATATACCGTGGGAAAACTATACTGTATCCATTAATATACTCATGAGGCTATAGATTCTACTATTTTGACAACATGTCTACTTTGTATGAGCTGCCAGTATGGGCTGCAAACTTATGAGAGTGCCTATTAGATAGAGCTGAGACAGATCTAATCAGTCAGACAAGCAGTACCAGATATGTCAAGCAGATCAGTTAGATTGAATGAGATCAATCACAATCAAATCTCCGGACCGAATTAGACCGAACATGTGACTGGACCGATCTGACCGAAAAGTCGCAACATGAGAGTTGTGTGGGAAACGACTTCCTGAAGTGGCCAAACGCTCAGGCAGAAAAATTCAGGTCTTCGATAAATCAACGAGTCAGGGATGACTCGTAACTATAGAAATCCTAGAAACATAATTTCTGAAGTGATCTAGCTGATGATTCTTTCAGAGAGGGGAGGAGGAGCATTTGGGGGTAATATACCCAAAGCTCAAGAATAAATTATCAGCACACTAAGTGGATAGCACAGTCATGTTCTCTGTACCAAAGAACCCCTATGCACTACTCAATGAGGTAACGTAGCGGTAGAAAACCACACAGTGACTAGGGAAGGGGAGGAGCAGGTGGGCCCAGAGAGATTGTGGAGGTGTACGGGAACCAGCACCTATGTGCTCCCATAAAATTCAAAATCAAATACTATGTATATGAAAGCAGATATTTCTAGAACAACAGAAGAATCTGATCACAGGTACATACCAAACCTCGATGCTGGCCCCAAGTAGACTGCCAGCTGGAACTTTACAAAGCCTCTAGCGCCACGAGTATGGACGACATCACTCTAATTCCTTCAGATTCAAAATGACGTGATGAAATGTGTCAGTTTGAGCCCCAGGTGGGTTAAAAACAAGAAGATATAATATAGCCACTAGGCCTAGCCAGCAGGAGGTTGGGAGCAGGAAGCAGACTAGTGAGCTGATGGCCAATCACCGGATTGATGGTGAGGCTGTGCCAAGCAGGCACTTGGTAGGAGCAATTAGTATACATATTGACAATTCCTTTCCCTCAGTAGTTCTTATTCTGCTGACTCTTGTAGATTATACAGTCAGATAAGATGACAGATCAGATTGGTACACTCATAGACTCGAGCATATAATTGAGATTGAGATCTGACCTATGGGAAAATCTTCCAAATTGAGTAGGAAGTCACGGCATGCGAGAAGCATGGGAAATACCTTCCCAAACCTGCCATTTGGTCAGGCCCAGATTTTCAGATCCATGGTAAATCAACAAGTCAGGGATGACTCGTAACAACCCGGAGATCAATTGGACTCTAGGAGTCATTGATTTCTCCCACTGCCCTGATTTGTGTGAGATGCTGCACGATGATGAGGACGACCCACTTGCCGATGAAGGCCTAGAGCTTGGTGATCAGTTATTTGCTTTCGACATTGAATCCTATGCACGCTTCGATATGGATTATCGTAATACGCTGCATACACGTGCATTCCAGACACACACTTCCAAGATAGCAGAACAAAAGGCCTCCCAGGAGAAGGAGAAGAAGACCTTTCAGGAACGTGTTCCCTCCGCCTATCACGACTTTAAAGACATATTCAACAAAGAGGAGTTCGATCAGCTACCTCCTTGCACTCCTTACGACCACGCGCTTGAGCTTACAAAAGACTTTAAACCTATACACATGAAAAACTATCCCATGGCTCCCGCAGAACAAGAAGCGCTTGACCGCTTCCTAGAAGAAAACTTACGCTCTGGACGTATCTGACCGTACAAGTCTCCTATGGCTTCACTATTCTTCTTCATCAAGAAGAAACACGGGGGGCATGTCCCAGGGCTGTCGGGGCAACGCTGTCTGGAGCACTCTTTGGGCGTCCTTAGCAGAGCTTCTTGCGGCACGTGGCTGACCGCTGCACATGGACGCCACGTGATGCATTTGTTGAGGCAAGAAACCTCAAAAACAATCTCTTGCTAACAACATAGATATCCGTGCTAGTCCGTGAGTGCGTGCTAGTACCAATTAGTATATAGCGTAGTTCTACAAACCAATGATGAGTAATTTAGCAGTGCATTCACTGCTTGTCAGTCGAGGAACCCTAGCCGACCGGGTATAGGCTGGGGTAAGCCCTGCATTCCGTATGTTTTGCTCATATACTGACTGATAAACAACCTCGTAAGACATCCAATACATACATTCCTTCATGAAAGTACCAAAATCAGTGTACCATAGCCTAAATTACTTGTGCTACAGGTCTGAATACCACTTCGAGCTCAGAGCACCCGACATGTGGCCTGCACGTGTGGCGTGGCAACCATGCGGCTTCGGACCGGTTTGCCAAGGATGCCCAAAGGACGATCAGACAGCGTTGGTCAAACAGCCCTGGGAAATGCCTCCCGTGAAAGATGGCTCCCTTCGCCCGGTACAGGACTACCGCAAGCTGAATGATATGACTGTCAAGAATCGTTACCCGCTGCCCTTTATCCAGGAGCTACTCGATAAGCTCAAGGGTGCACGCGTCTTTACCAAACTTGATGTGCGCTGGAGTTACAACAATGTGCGCATCAAGGAAGGTGACAAATGGAAGGCTGTGTTCACTACCAACCGCGGACTCTTCGAACCTATAGTCATGTTCTTCGGTTTAATGAATTCTCCAGCCACCTTTACGGGGCATTTATGGTAATAAATCACTGTATAATACTCGCGCGCAACACGGACATTCACCCCCTGTGGGAATTGGCCGCATTAGACTAAATTCATTCTCGCTATCTCGCGCACCTTTGCTATCCCCTTGTATTTTTGTTATACACTCAATAGATACCTCTTTCACATATCTCTCAGTTTTTTCCGCATGTCCATAGCATGATTGCATGAGCTGTTATTGCAGACTCTTTGCCAGGTTTTCATTCCCACGGGGGCAGGAAAAGTCGCACGCCTGCAAGATCTGCTTGTGGCTCTCCCACGTTTGTCATCATGTACAGTCATCATCCGGTTTCTCCTGGTATGACATTCAGTAATTACATTTTTATGAGAATATGATGGTTCCACATCACTGCTATTCAGACTCAAGTACTCACTACTCAATGTTTAATAGGATCCCCACACCTTTTACAAACCCCAAGATCATCTAGCCAGATGCATATGTGTGAGAAAAGTCATTTCCTGCCTTGGCAGGACAAACTCTATTATACTAGTAGCCGAGATATTATTGTGATTATTGTATATCTTGTATTGAGACTGTGAACTAGAGCATTGCCAGCCAGAAGCTGTAAGAGCCACTTTTCCGCGCCTCTGCAAACCGCTAGACAGTCTCGTCATTTGCAGAGGCGTGGGAATTAGACACCATTTTTGGATATAATTTCTTTCTACAAATTGAATAGGAATTCTCACTTACTGATAGCTTGAGTATAGTTGGCTCATTTCCAAAGTAGTATTCAGTTCCCATGCCCCTGTAAACGACGAGACTGTCTGGTGGTTTGCAGAGGCGCGGGAAAGTAGCTCTTATAGCTTCCGATTGGCAATGCTCTAGTTTAGGGTCTCAGTACTAGATATATAACAATCACAATACTCTATTAGGACTTTAACTCCACGTCTCCCACATGGATTCAGTATCTGCATCAAACTATGTCGGCATGGCTGTTTCAGCTGGAGATGCTTACTATGGGGCCGGTCACATTAGTTGTCAACGAAGAAAATGACCCAGATGGCAGACTAGTAGTAAAGTTCTGCACACAGGACTCTGTAACTGATTAAGTAGAGTACAGGGAAATTACATTTATAGCAACAGCTCAAGACAGTGCATGCTGAGAGGGGACAAGATCTCTTTCGCCACACCCTTGTCAATTGTTCGAGTCTCACTGAAATATGGTTTGTCACCCAGGGATTCGACAATTACAGCATTTGGGAGGAGATATTTGGCCTATTGCACAATTGACCAATATCTGCTCTGACCATAGCATTCGTCACTTAGAACACATTTCAGCCCCTCCGCCAATCTCACTCCCAAACCTCACCCGCCTTTGGACAAATGTGCCTACTCCCATCAGATCTTCCTGCCTTGTTGAGTTGGCGATTGAGACCGAGTTACAAGACAACCTATGTATGCTTCGAGCACTTCCTCTTGTCAGGGGTATACTGTTTGGAAGTGACACGTACTCCAACCATGCGGACACGGAACCTTGGACATCAGAATTGCCTCCAGTTGTTCTCTCTCACTGCATTGGAATCCACTACCGTCTGTCTGCAGCTCATTACTTATGCTCTCTATTGTCTGCACTGTGTTTGCCCCACCTTTTGAACTTACAACTCAACCTGGATGTCTTCCTCTTTTGGAAATCACGCACATGACCCACCTATCAAGAATCCGACCCTGCAGCTGACATGTGGATTGAAGACTTGCACCATGCTATGTCGGTATTATTGCTGCAGCTGGAATTGCTTACAAGCGGGGCAGTCACATTGACCATCCATGAGGAGAACGGCCCTGACAGCAGACCAGTTGTGAAATTCAGTACGCGGGATTTTGTAATTGAGTGGGCAGGCAACAGTGTTGTGTATACAGTCAACTCTGTCTTAACCCATAGCTGCGGTAACCCATAATCTGTGATACCCCATAGCGTTTGGCCGTCCACGGACATGGTAGGCTGTAAGAACCCATAACATTCTTATACCCCATAACACATGGCCCATAGACAGGTTCGTAACCCATAGTTTAATTACAAAAATATTCAGGAAGCTCCGAAAATACCATAGTGGCATAGAGCAGTGTACCCCACTATGCTTTGTACTATACCCAGTGTGTATATAAGCTCTGTGAGCAAATGTGACACATGTGATGGTCTGTGACTCAAACTCGCAGCTTGCCTCTTACCACCACCACCCACCATGGCACCTACCCTCTCACTTGCTGCTATCAAAGCTGGTCTCTCTGCTCTCAAAAACAAGACTCAAATCAAGAAGAATGAACTGCTTAACCGC